ACTTTTTTAGATTTTACCTTCAAAATTAAAAAAAATGTATATATGTAATTGAGTACCTAGTTAATAGGTATGAATTTTGAATTTAAAAAGGGAACTAACGTTGATCAAACACAAGGAAGCTGAGGGTAACTATCGCGATGTAGACGACACACACCAGGTCCAGCCAGAAGCCGAACGCTCGCGAGCTCGCTATGAACAAGTACCTGGAACAGACAACATACATATTAACCTTTAACTGATCAACAATTGTTCATGTTTAGTAATTATTATAAATACTTTTGCCTGTGAATCCGTCCGGGTGGAATTAAAAAAAACACAAAAGTAAGTAGCCTATGTGTTCTTCCCGACGGTGTTCTTATATCTATGCGAAATGTCATCCATATCTGTTTAGGCTACAAACTCTACCAACAATCCATCTATCTAAGCTTTCGCATTTACTATGTTAGTATGAAATATGAGTTAGAAGTTTTAATAAATAAGTAGACTCACCAAGCCGAGCTGTGCAAGTCCTGATGGTTGTCGAACTCCCGAATGAGTGCCTCCTGAGCACCGAACGCTCGTATCGTAGTAATGCCTTGTAACGATGCATTCAGGTGAGAGAATACGGGGCTGCGAGCTGAAGACAGACTAATATTAACAACACAATTTTACAAAAAATAAACAAACTCTGTGTAAACGCAGAGTTATGTGTAATAAATTTAATTTTATGGTATTTATTATAGTTAAAATATGACTTAAGAGTGAATGTAAGTAATGATTTTCAAACCTAAAAATCATTAAGCATTGATAACCAGAGATATTAATAATCGGCTATAGACGCTAAGAACGCAGTAAAAAACCATAGATAAGGGAGTATTGTCAAAGAGTAGGTATAAATAGAATGTATTATGAGATGTGAGGAGTTCTGAGCGATGATGACTTACTCACACCCTCGAGGCGCTTGATGCTGCGCGAGGAGGAGAGGTACACGATGCGCAGCCCGTAGAAGATGACGCCGATGGCCAGCGTCGGCACCAGCAGCCACCAGTTCACCGTCGCCACCACAACCACGATACCGATCAGCGACAGACCGATCTGGAATTACCACAACGTACAATTAAAACCAAATAGCACTTTGAATTAATACTGATATAATTAGACCAGCAACACTTCTATTGAGTATTTTTAAACTATGACTCATAATTGAACCAATAGTTAAAAAGGGGTAGGAACCTTGAAAGACATCAAATAGTGTCGGCAAAAAATTAAATAGATATCAAAACCATGCTAATAACAAACCCATAATAATCCCCCTAGATCTAGCCTATCTCATCGGCTGTCCATGGCAGACAAAACCAGGTTTTTTTTTTGTATAATAGAAATATGAAGCACTACTTCAAGATCATTTATCTTTCGTGTCGAAAATATCGAAGTTAAATATAGACCTGTAGTACATCTAGCAGCGCGGAGGGCAGCACCTCGTCCACCGCGCCCATGTCCTTGGAGAAGCGGTTGAGCACGCGGCCGGAGGGGTTGGTGTGGAAGAAGCGCATGGGCGCGCGCGTGATGGCCGCGAACATGTTGTTGTGCAGCCGCGTCGACGCACTCATCGCCATCCAGAAGAACATGAACGACCGCAGCAGCGACATGCCCACCAGAGACAATACCATCGCTACACACATAAAGACAATTTAGT